CAGTGTGTATAATTTTTAATAAACCAATCCGAGGCAGTTCCAGATGTTTAGCTCCATGTATACTGTGTGCAGTTTCTTAATATAATCTCTAAAAAGGAGATACATTTTAATTAGGTGTAGTAAATATTTTATATTATGCTTCAGCTGGTGAATGAGTTCCTTCAGGCACCCCCACGACCTGCACACACATTTGACATGGGTCAGCTGCTGGAGGAAATGCAGCAGATTGACCAGCAGAGCTACAGACAAGCTCCACAGAGAGGTACACTTCATTATTATAGTTCTCATACATTTTTTAAAATAGTTTTAGGTATATTCATTAGTGTTTGTGTGACTCAGGCTTAAGTCTGTGCACAAACTGTTGTCAGTATTTTAAGCACCACATATTTTCATGTCATAGCTCCAGATGTGGCAGCGTTGGCACTCTCTGGTGACTGGGCTGCTGAGTTCATCTCGGGTTCGGAGTCTGGCTCTACAGTGGGGCTTGTTGCTCTTAGCGATGCGGCAGATGCTGATTGGACAAGGGAATTTATTGCTGAGGCTGAAGGTAACTTCAGTGTGTTATGGTTGTTTTTTCTTTTACTCAGTAAATGGACTTTGCTTAATGTACACTATCTTTCTGGAATCCTCATCAGTCTTTCAAATGTCAGCTGACACCAGAGTAAATCTGCTTTGGATAAATTCTTTTATTTTTGCATTGTCTGCCATTTTTACAATATGCCTACCTGCTGTTTTGTTTTCTCTGCTCCAGATCCTGGACGCTGGGCAGAGGAGTATCTGGAGCAGTCGGAGGAGAAGTTGTGGCTAGGAGACCTGGGAGACAAGGAGAGTGAATGGTTAGAACAGGGTCTGGGGGGTGTGGATTGGGAGTGTTGATAGGATGCAGAAAAAGGCCTTATATAAATCGCTACTTCAGGGACACTGCCATAAATGTGCAGCACAGACAAGACACTTGAGGGAGAGTAACAGAGAATAAGAGCCCAGGTTGAATCCAAGCTCCTGTCTTCTTGGTGAGTGGGTGTGTCTCTTGAACTTTATATTTTCAGACTTTTAACCTTGTCGGAAGATGTTTAACTCATCCAACCATCCAAGCTCAGTTAAACAGCAATAAAGCATCTGAGCAGGAAGTGAAAGCTATATAGATATCAACAGAGTATCTGCCTTACAGGTGTTTAATCATCAACATAGTACACACTGACCTCTGAAGAACAGGCGTATACATCAATGCAAAGTACACCTTTCATCCTGAATTGATTTTTTTTTTTTTTTTTTTTCCAGCATGCCTGTGCAGAATAAATCAGAATATTTCTTTTAATCTTCTGACTCCTTACTGTGTAATATTATTTTTATGTTGTTTACCTGACAGGACAAAGGAGTATCAACCAGGAGAGGAACTGAGGCAGACAGCTAATGAGCTTGTCTCAAAGGTTGATGACCCCAAGTTACAAAACACAGAGGTGAGCAGTGAGTTTTTCTGTTTCACACTCATTGGAATCCATTGTCATTCCTTTTAACATATCTACAGTGTTATCATATTTTTTCTCTTTTTCTTTATCATTTTTGTAGAGTAGTGCCTTGGGGGCATAGTGGTAATGTTGGTTTGGAAAGAAGCTAGTAGTATATTAGTATAAACCTGGGATTTTTGTTGTTATTTTTTGTTGTTGTGTAGTTCCTGCGATTCATTAGGCAGATTGGCGAGGGCAGTGTCACAGTGGAGAGCAGAACAGACAAACAGCTCACAGATAAAGCTCAGGCCGAGGGGGCTCAGAACTGGGCCTCCAACCTCAACCAGGTATGAGCCACTGCCCACTGAGGTGGAGATGGTTGCAACAGGGAATACACTGGGTTGGCACTTTAGTTCACTTTTACACAGTGTCGGCTATTCCTTGTGACTCACCACCCCAGTATCTGATGCAGGGTAACATTTTCCACAGATGTGACTAAAAGCAACCACTGCACTCGCTGTAATACAACACTCAAGGCTGTACCACGTTTCAGATGGAATCTGTTCAGCAGAAAGAGGAGAGACTATGACTGTCAGCTTCTCCTCTTATGTTTTTAATGTGTACCGTTCAAGCTTGGATTATTCCCATCTCCACTCAGTTTTCAGTTCTTCATTTCACTGGTGTTGTAAGGATTTACTTGGACTTCATTCAGTTTAGGCAGAAAAAAGCTGATGCCAGACTTTGGATTTTATACATTTATTTTATAAATTCATGTTGAGGTCTAATGGTTTGACTTAGGCCAAATTTTAAAACAGTTAACTAGGGCCAGGCAATTAATTGAATTTTATTTTCAATTACAATTTTGGCTTCCAATGATTATGAAAACAAAATAATCGAGTTAAAACGATTATTGTGCTGCACTCCATTTTGATATGATGCTCTCGTATCAGATGAAGTGAAATGTATTACCTGGGCTCATTACTGCATGTTCAGTAAAAAGTCAGCGAGTAATCTATCAAACCCCCACTGAACAAGAGTAAACGTGTAGAGTAGCGATAATTTCAGCTTTGCTCATAGTCCGTCACACACCACCAGTCTGTGTTAACCACAGCAAGCTTGTTAAGCTTGTTATGAACATGCCATTCCCTCAGTTAACTACCACTATTCATCTACTCCTCCTACTACTTAAAATAACTCCTGCTCCTCGCCAACCACCACCTCCTTCCTAAAACATTGCCCTGTTCTCCAACGCCGCCCCTCCTCGCTTCCTACCATAGTTACTGAGGGAGACAGGGGGAACTGGAAACCTCCATAGAAAAATGAGAAGACTGAGAAAACTAAAGCTAAGCAGGCAGAGCAGTGGGCCAAGGTCATCAGGCAGGTAGGACCTCTGTGGCGCCAGGTATTTTACTTTTAGCTGCAGTTACTGTTGTATTCGAGTTTTGCTGCTGGTGTTAAAAATTTAGGAAATAAGACGCACTCAGCATTCACTTAATTTAGTTGCTGTTGAGGGCATTTTCTGTCTCATTAAGAATAGGGATGGAATGGAGTCAGAAAATGTGCTTCTTCAATGCTGTTTCTTTTTTCATCTTCTCCTCATTTCCATCTATATTTTTCCTATTTTAATGTACCCATCCTCAGGACAAGCAACAATTTTCTTAGGTTGTACATGCAGAAACCAGTCAAGCATTGTCATTGCTGTTTATTACTTTTCAGGTGTCAGAAGAGTCAGCTGAAGCCTGGGTAGACGAGTTCGCCACATCAGGACCAGATTTCCAACAAGCCAAAGCTGCAGTAGAGGTGAGAAGGAAATCTGTGACAAGTCAAATCCTAAACCCGAAGATAAAGCTGGTGTACATTATTTAGGAGCATTGGTAACTTAGAGGTTGGAGTTTAAATTTTTTACTTGCATAAGCAGAGAAATGTGTCTAAAAAATTTGCAACACATTAGAGAAAAGAAGCAAACCTCTTGGTCTTGTCTCAGTTGTGCTCCAACACATCATCAGTGCACACTCATCTTTTACTTGGGAAAGTAAAGGTCAAATATGTCTCTAATACAGGAAGATGTATTGTGTGAGCAGACACTGTAAAGTAATGATGTGTATCTCTGTCATTTTGTCAGAGTGATGTGGATTTCTGGGAGAAGCTGCAGAAGGAGTGGGAGGAAATGGCTAAGAGGGATGCAGAGAGTCATCCCTGGCTGTCTGACTTCGATCAGCTACTCAGCACTTCTTATGACAAGGTAGCTGTCAGCCTGCACAGAGCAGCCGTCTGCTGAGAAAGACAATCTCTATATGTGTTTGAGCATTTGAGCATTTTTGCACATACAGCTCTCCCTGATGTCTGAGAGTACACTACATACAGCATATTACTGCTGTTCATGCACCAACCTCTGTAAGATCCTCTGTTGGAGCACTACACACAGACCTACACTTCATGTATTCATTGTTTGCCCCAGGGGTATCAATTTGAAGACGACAACCCCTACTTGTCCCACCCAGACCCTCTGTCAGAAGGAGTGAAGAGGATGGAGGCAGGGGACATCCCTGGTGCTGTACGGTTCTTTGAAAGTGCTGTACAGAAAGAAACAGACAACCAACTGGTGAGCCAGTTTTTAATTCTTTGATCATCCTCTTGTTAATGAGTAAGAAACAATCCCAATAAATAAATCTCCTTATTTTTAATATACTTGCACTTGTTCCCTGACAGAGGGCAGTTGTAATGATCTCTACTGTGTGTTCGTGTGTGGCTGTTTTCTTTGAATTGCAGGCTTGGCAGTATCTTGGAACCTGTCAGGCAGAGAACGAGCAGGAATTTGCTGCCATCAGTGCCCTCCGCAGGTCTGAATTCAGAATTGAAAAATGCAATTATTTGGTACATTAACTTCATCTGCAGAACAGATAAGCTAATACACAGAATTTAGCAATAATTGGACCCCAGGTGGCAGTGAAAAATATTTTTATAGAGACATCCTATTTTCTGTGTGGACTTTTTTTTTTTCTTTGAAATTATGAATGATATGAAAAAAGACGTGGAGTGACTGATAATCAAGGCTCTATTTAGGTTGGAGGCAAAAAGGAAGAAAAAAGTTTGCACACTTTATTAAGCTCCCAATAACTTAATTCAGTGCTATTGAATTAAATTATCGAGGGTTTAATACAGTGTGCAAACTTTTTTTTTTTTTTTTTTGCCTTTTAAGCTGTTGGTGGTTCAGCGCCTGTAAAAACAGGTGGATGTGCACGTCCTGTGTTCTTTGTTTTTTCTAGATTGGCTCTAGTCCTTTGATTGACCTGTTTATAGCTCAATAATGAGCAGTGGCTGCTTTTATGTTGCCATTTTTGAGTAAATGTCCATTAATCACAGTTTAAATACTTGCATTAAAGCAAATCACCCAGACCCTTTGTCAGAGTGAGCGAAGAGCATTGAAGCAGGGGGACAATAATCCAGTTCCTTGCCTTTTTTCTGCAGCCACATTTGAATTGCTAATGTTACACCACTAATGAAGCATTTGACAGTGTACGTCGTCTAGCTCATCTAAATGACTGGATAAAACCAAAACAATTGTTTATTGCCTAATTTGTTTTAATTTATACTTCTTTTTTTTTTAAAGATGTATAGAGCTAAAGAACGACAACCTGACTGCTCTGATGGCGTTGGCTGTCAGTTTCACTAATGAATCGCTGCACAGGCAGGCCTGTGAGACTCTTCGTGACTGGCTTAAGCACAATCCAAAATACCGTTCTGTGTGGGAGCAGAATGAGCTGGAACGCCAGGAGGATAGTGCCAGAGAAAGGGAAAAGGAGAGGGAGAGGTTTGGGTCACTGCTGCCAGAGTGAGTATCGCACACAACTGTGGGATTCAGAACAATTACAGCTTTAAAATGGAGTATACAGATCTAGCATCCAGTAAATATTTAAAACAGTATATACTAACCCCTTCTTTCCTTTTGCCCTTTTTTCTTTCCTTCCTTTTGAACAGATCGTTGTTTACTGAAGTCCAGTCCCTGTTCCTGCGGGCAGCCAACTCTGACCCGACCCAGGTGGACCCCCAGCTGCAGTGTGGTCTGGGAGTTCTCTTCAACCTCAGCGGGGAGTATGACAAGGCAGTGGATTGTTTCAGTGCTGCGCTCTCTGTCACACCACAGGTTGGTGTAGAAGCCGGTGCTGAGGTCCTAACCTCTGCCTTTACTCATTCCGTTTCTGAGCTCTCCCTTGTTTTCTTCAGGATTACTTGCTGTGGAATAAACTGGGTGCCACACTGGCCAATGGAAGCCGCTCAGAGGAGGCAGTGGCCGCCTACAGGAGAGCTCTGGAACTCCAGCCAGGCTTCATCCGTAGTCGCTACAACTTGGGAATAAGCTGTGTAAACTTAGGAGCACACAGGTGGAGCAGATATTTTTGTTTTTAGATGTGATGTTTTTTTAAGTAATCCCAGCAAGCGTGTGTGTCCAGTGTTTACTCAAAAAATGTTTCTTTGGTTGCAGCTATAATGTTTATATGAACTGCTGTTACCACAATGTGGACATTAATCTAACACAGCATCTGTGTTAGACTGAAAACACAGATGATTTATAGCCCATTTTCATAATGACATGAAAACATAGGTTAAATCTGTGTTTGGGGTCAACTCGTCCTGGGGTTCTGACTCTGACCTTAACAGAATATGTTTCAGATACACATTGCTTTAATTACTATGCTATAACTATGGAGCCCAGGAATTTATTTAAAAAAATTCAAGGGGAGATTGTACCAAGCAAGAGCTCATGTTTGTGTAAAGTGAAATTAATTGTATGTAATTCAAATTGTAGCAGTGGTAGCACTCTACTTTTATATTTAAAAAAATAACTTTGCTTGTCTTGTGTACAATAATGTGTTTTTTGTTAGTTTTAAAATTGGCTTTGTACTTGGATACTTTTAATTCAACTTAAAGCTACACTATAACTTATTTCAAATATTTTTGTTGTTGAAATATGCTCCAAAACACGTGGAAAGGTGCCGTGGAAGCCTCCAGAGACCCAGACTCCTTGAACAGCACTGGCAGCAGTGCTGTTCAAGGAGCTGTTCAGATGTTTTTGAGTGGGATTTACCTCTCTAACCAGTCAGATTTTCAGTTATTTCTGCTTGATCAGTAAGTTTTGTTGCATTCTTTTATTTTAATTTCATAACAACAAATATCTGAAGAGCCAGGCAGAGCAATAGTGGAGCATAGCAGATTGTAGTAGAGCACAGTGGAGCAGGGAGGGGGAGCGCTTGGCAGAACAGAGTGGATTGATTTGGAATTTCATGCTAGTGCTACCTTAAGTTACATACTGTAGCTATAACTGGGTTTTATTATTATATCTAGGATAATGTTAGAAGGCAAAAAACCTTGGTGCAGTACAGTTGCTTTTATTTCCAGTAGATGGCAACTGCACTTCTGTACAATACACGGTTCCTAGTTCATTATGCACACTTGGTTAAAAATAATGCAGTGTAGTACAACAGCCCTGTAATTAAGTCTCTCTGTGGATTATGATGATCAGTTTTTAGTGGAAACTGTTTATAGAGAGGTGTTAAATCAACCATATGGTTATTATGGAAGATGTAGTTTGTGGTGTTTATTAAAGTACACTGAATCATACTGAAAGGTGGTTCTAAGATTTTGACCATCCCATTTATATTATTTAAGATTGAGAACTGCATGTCACTTCTGACAAAAATGTCTGATTGTTAAAGCCTGCTCTGACTTGGGTCTTAGCTGGATCAAAGTCATCAGGGAATGCAATTTAATTGGTAATACGATACACTACCAGTCAAAAGTTTAGAGTCACCTCATTTTTTCCAATGGTTACTTTGATATTTAAGTAGTTCAAGTCCAGTGTTTAACCTTAAATGGTACTAATCTAAGAAGTAAACTGCCAGGGGTAGTAAAACAAACACAAAGGTCACTAAAAACTAAATGTATGTAGATTTAATATTAAACCAGGCCTTTTTTTCTCGCATCAAGGTTAACTTGCATCTTTTCTGCAGCAATGGAAACAAACAAAGCCTTAAACTGATGCAAAAAGAAATATCCTACAGGTGGCCCAACTTTTGTTGATTACTTAGAACAACAAGCTCCATCTGTACAAAGGTAGTGTTGGAAAAAGTGTTACTACACCCTCTGCAGCATTAGTTTGAAAAAGACAGTTAACAGTGGAAGTCAGACCATTTCAGAGTTTCATCCTATAATGAGCCAGAAACACCTCCAGGCTGTGGAGAGAACAACAAGATGGTAAGCTTCAAATGATGCACCAGCAGCAGGTGTCCAGACTTTTCAAATGTAGAATGAAGGCAACGCAACCTGCAAGTGCAACACATTTATGGGAACTTCAGTAACATTGCTATCTGTCCGAATAATAATTGATTTCAGTTGTTGAAAGGATGTCTCAGGTGTGTTCATTTGTTGGTTTGAAAAAATGGAGGTGTCCCCAAACGTCTGACTGGTAGTGTATGAGAAGTAGTTAATCATGTTAATAGCAAAATAGTTTAGCTTCTGTAAATGTTGTAATATATTTGAAACCAGCTGTTCACCCAGTTATGCTCCCCCCCTCCCATCTTCTTTATCCCTAGAGAGGCAGTGGAGCACTTCCTTGAAGCTCTGTCTCTACAGCGCCAGGCCGCAGGGGACGGAGGGAGAGCTGCAAGGGGGCCTGGAGGTGCAGCAGCAACCGTCATGTCTGACAACATCTGGTCCACCCTACGTATGGCTCTCAGCATGATGGGAGAGAGCTCTCTATACGCTGCTGCTGATTGCCGGGATTTGGACACATTGCTGGCTCACTTCTGCCAGAGAGAGGTGGAAGGTGGGACTGAATGAAGGCCAGCCAAGGGAGGGCATATTATGTGTGAATGTGTTTTTCAGGGAGGTAAATGTTTGGGTGACTGAAAGAAGCACAGAGAAACGATTAGAGAGAAAAGCAGAAGGAAGACGCTGAATTCTTCACCATGCTAGAAACATCACCTCGTGGTCATGTGTGCTTAAATAACTTCTGTCAAATATTGCAGTATTAGTCTGTACCTGGAAGACACAGCCAGCAGTAATACAGTTATGTCACTGTGTTTTGTGTGTTAGACAGACCTCTCGTTACCTGTTGATCTCGAGAATGGTTTAATGAAATGCCAGTTTTTTTTTTCCGTTTTTTTTTTTAATTTGTTCTCGCTGAAGAAAATGATGAAAAATGAATGAATCCCCATTTGTATTTATTAACAATGTGGACAGTTAATATTTATCATGGCACGCAGTACTCTCAAACCTTTAACAGGTAATAAATTGAACTGTTTAATTGCTGCAGTTATGTAAGTTAACGGTACAATATTGTTGTGACTTTTTTTTTTTTATCGTTTATTGGCCAGGACAATAATCTGACAACCAGCAGGACTGTTACTGTTATGATGAGGTTTATGTGTGTGTGAGTTTTGGGGCTGGGTATTAATTGTGCATTGGTTGATGAGATCAGATAATTGTAATACCTTTGAGAATGATTTCTCTGGTCTCTTCCCTCTCTTGCTATTTTTTTCATATTGCTCTTGTAAAACGATAAGCGTCATTGTAAAATAATGCCATATATAAATAATGCCATATTGTGTATTGTAACATAATGGTTTTCAGGCTAGTTCTATCCTGACTGCAATGTTTAATATAATATTCAGCAATAAAGCTTTGATTCCAAACATCTGCTAGTGATTTCTTATTTTTCAGTCACGCACTTAATTGGCCAGATGTCAGAAAATAAGTTGAAAGCTGAAAAAAGAAGGTGTATATATCAGATACAGCTAACAGATGGTAGAAGGTGTTTCAAAGCTGAGAACGTTTGTGCCAAGAATGTGAATTCTTACTGAGAGTGAGAATGTAAGAAAATTAGACCTGTGGTTATGAATTCAGATGAAGTGAATCGACCTCTTTTACTTTATTCTTTTTAGTTAGCCTGTCAATTGAAATATGGAGCCTGGAGTATGTCACCGGGTCATTTGTATAGTTTAATTTGAGTAAACAAAATATTTAAGGCTTTTGAGATTTCATTCTTTGTTTTCTTATTATTCTAGCTCCTGTTGCTGCTCTGTGGGTTGGACTTCGTTTAAGTTTTAGGTTAAAATTAGATTATGTTTAAATCAAACACATCCATTTCTAAATTTAAGTAGGTCACAAAATGTAAATTGTGAATGAAACCAGAAATAAATAAACTGTACTATAGGCCGTAAGTAAATAGAATAACAAAAAGACAAAATGCTGTTTTATTCTATTTTAATAACAGTTGTTTCAACTTTTAAAGAGAGGAAATATAATTGTACATACACTTGGACTTCAATGAGCATAATTTTAATGCAATTATTTATTTACAAATTCTTTCTCCAGTTTCTTTATTGATGATAAACATTGTAACAATTTATATTCTGGGTTTATTTCATGCCCTGAAACACCTAGACAAGGTCAAGGTCAAAGGTCAGAGTGTTAATTGTCATATGCACAGTTAGGAAACGTGTTTCCCTGTACAATGAAATTCTTACTTATTCGTCCACATGAATGCCACAAAAATACTGTCTAACTAAACACAATGGAATTAAGGAGCTTAAAGATTCTGGAGAACCATCGAACTAGCCGCTGCCCCTTACTATTGACTGCCTACTGGCTGCCCGGGGGTG